CCACACTAATTAGAGAGGGCTGCAAAATTTACAGCGCTCTAATCACTGTAACTGTAGTGCATTTCTTCAAGAAATTGGAAGTAAGTACTTTTTAAAAGTAACAATGATAAAACGTGTTCTTAATTTAGTGATTGTTTGGTACAACGTATTTAAATACAATTTTTTTCCCAATTTCATTTTCAATCACACATTATCCGTAGAAATCATTTCACTTTAAATAATCTCTCCCAAACAAACACTTGCATAAGCTAAATCCATTAATTTATTTAGAAAAAAATCCCTTGTGCGTGTTTATGTATTTTCAAGTTACTTTATTTAATTTGTTAGTGTCGAGTATAATTTGAAAGATCTTCAAATGCCACCGAGAATAATTAATTCAATCTGGCTAGATAGCTAAATCAAGATGACATATTCCCATTGTTCATGTACATTTTGAGAAATTTTCTACAAGGCCCATGTTTTAAATTCTCAAACAAGAATGTTGATTGATGAAATAAGAACACTTCGGATTTCTTTATTTTTCCGTAGTGCTCATCTGAATAACAGAAAATAATAATATCGTAAGTAAATAAATGGGTTCATAATATTTCTAGTAACTGCCTTCCCACCAGCACAATCTGAATCAAACCTCTTACATAAATACATCACAGAAGTTTGCTCTATCTTTAAAAGAGGAATATTATCACTGAAGAAGACATCAACCAGAAAACCCACAAAAACTATTTAAACAGAAACAAAATTTACAAGTGTCCCCTTCCTTTCTTTCCTTCTGTAAATTTTCCTGCTTAGCAACAGGACATTATTTCAAATTCTTGGGTCGATATATGGGTCTAATGTGATATATTTCTTATTTCCCAGAAGATGTGAAGCAAAGACGTGAGAAAATGAGTTCATCACCTAAATCTAACAACAATGCAAGAGATGTCGTCTCTACTCTCTCTTTTCAATGCTTCAGCTATTAATTGCCCGGCTGCTTTCTTAGGATCTCTAGTTCTTCGTGCAATATCAACTGCCTCCTGATTATCCATAACCTGAATCGATCATGTATTAGGGCATGTTTATTACACATCACTGAACAATATTGTACAGGATAACATACAAGATTTCAACTTATTTTTATTCCTTAATCAAATGTTTTACTCTCCAGTCTAGCATAACGAACAATTCGATGACGTGCTACTCTTTTTTAAAAAATTATTCTTGCACAACAACAACCAATGAAATTGACACAGGAAATATGCATCACCTTCCAAAGACCATCACTTGCAAGGATAAGAACATCACAGCTGGTATCAACCATTGTATTTTGAATATCAGGATCTGACCGCAAATGTGATTTAAGGCTTTTATCTCCAAAAGCACGAGAAACAGCCAGCTGCCCATTTACTCTAGGGACATCCCCTGGGAGATATGTGCCATGTACCATGGCCCGAGAAGCACATTTAATCAAAGATAGATAATCATACAATTAATAAGACACTAAGAAAAGGATCTAAGTTATGGAAAAACTAATTTTTAAACAAGCAATAGCACGTTTAGACCTAACAATATTGTCAGCATCATTCCCCTGATAAAGAAATATAAATCATGAATGCACGAATAAACAATTATCCAATAGGCAATTTCAGGAGAGATGGAACACGAACTACGTTGTATCTTTCTTGCAAGATGAAACAGTTGCTTTTTTAGAGCTGAAACTGAATCCAATGATATACCACAACAAAACCCTTGCATCTAATTGGTGCATCAATGTATCCCCACTATCATCCAATTTTACATTATGCAAATAGAAAAGGGTAAAAATGGGTCATATGTGTTCATACTTCTAGACAGTACAAAGAATAATTTAAAGGGATATCATAGTTATTCTCAGCTCCTCCAATTCTAACAGGATATGTATAGTTTCATTCTTAGTTATGGCTGCTGACTTTAGTTGACTTTACTCATAAAGAAAGTAAGACGATTTATGAGGAAAAAAAAAATTCCCCAAGCTTCCCAATACTAAACTCAGACGTTCACACACACACACACACACATATAGTGCATGTGTGTGACCATAGTATTATATTTAGCCCTATTTGGTATGGATTAAAATTTAAGTCAAAGTCAACAATGAATTTTAATCACTTATTACATGGGACCCATAGCATTCATCCACTTTTATCAAAATCTGTTAAAAATCTGATTTGTACCCCCATCAAACAAGGGTTTACACTTCATGTAAGCCATAATCCTGAAATTGATGCTCCAGGATTGCTTCCCCATTTAATTTTTACAGTGACGAAGTTTGATATGTTTTTTGTTATATAACCACATAAATGGGACACCCCTCTCCCTCTCCTTCTAGACTTTCTAAAATTAATTTCTCCTCATAACCATAGCAATATGAAAAGAATTCTCTCTGATGTATGTAACATGTACCTAGGGAATGAAAGATTTTCCATCCTGTTGAATCTAATAGATCTAAAGACCACAAATACATGTTTGGTACGTTGTACTAGACATGATTGGATAGTACAATAAAATTAATTTTACCCTATTTTCCACTCTTAATATTGTCCAGTAGTATCTGTGCTCCCAAACAAACGTGCCATAAGTGAAGAGAAGAAAACATGGTGACACCAAAGAGGAGTTATGAATCAAAGCTTTTGGGAATTTCTCATGAAGTCCGCAAAGATGAAATTCACAGTGAGGTTTGATAGGGAAGATTGCCACAAGAGAAAGAAAAGAATTAAATCTATGATGAAATGATATCAAAGGATTTTAGGTTCTGTTCTAAATGATGAACAGCACCCATGAACAGTACATTTTACTAAATATAAACTGATTTGATGGTTTATATTGTTGGAATGTGCAGCCATTACAATGTATTATTTTTATGATAGGAAGAAAGAATTAGGAGAGACCAAAAAGCCAAAATAACATGAGAAATCAGGTCTTGCTACATGAAGTACGAATAAAATAAATATTAACTCACATTTCAAAATAATTCCTAGAGGGTGATGAATTTGCAGAAAAACATTCGCTTAGACATTACAGTTCTGAACATTTGGACAAAAGAAAATAGTTAGCTCTCTGGACTGGAAGAGACAAAATCTTAGATTGCAGAGTTTCTTGCCTACATGTTGTGCTTTATTGACTTCACTAAGGTCATATCTATTGGAATTAGTGCACAAACTGATTAAACTAGGTGGAGAGATAAATTGAAAAGTCTTACTGTTAATAAATAATCCCATTAAAAAGGAGAAGTTTTTTTGACATTTATCTTGCATGTTCAGAGCATAAAACAGTGAACTATCAAGATAGAAATGGTAAATTTTTCATATGGGAAATTTATAATCAAATTTAGTTACTCGGGTTACGGAAAGAAACCTGGCATATTTGAAACAAAACCTCCTTTGTCCTCAATGCTACCTCGTTCAATACCAGGCTCATGGTCTATGGTCATCTGTGTAGCCTGACCTCCCCTCGATAGAACAGCTCGTGAATCTCCCACATTAGCTACCCATAACTTTTGGCCATTTATTAGAATAGCTGTGACAGCAGTGGACCCACCTCGCCCCAAATTGGAACTGTCTGAAAGAATTGTTTGATCAGTTTTCTCGTACGCTTTTGACATTGATCTTCCCGGATCAACCCAAAACTCATGCTGGAAAAGTAAAAACAACATATATGAGAAAGGCATATCCCTGAATGCATGTTTAGTGCAAAATGATCGACAGGACTACACAATACAAGAACGAGTTTTCTTTTACTTCATTAATACTGACATCCTCACCAAAAATGCATGAATGTTAACCTTATTGACATCCATATCATGAAATAGAACCATTATATTTTGCGACACTATACCTCCTTCAATATATTGTCAAACAAATGTTTCTGCAGGTATGAAGGAATGCGATCTCCCATATGGCCGTCATATATCGCAAATAGTCCAAGCTCATGTTCATCTATCTGTATAAACTTCGCAACATGGTAATCCTCCATGGGATGATTAGCTTTTCCTTTCACTAAGGTGAAACCATATTTGATTTGACCCTCATGGTTTTTTCCCGAGCCTGAGCTTTTAGAGGATTGAGAGTCTGAACACTGAATTGGGAGAGGAGATGGGAAAATGAAAACTTCATCCATGAAAACAATTATGCATAATTAAGAGATAAGAAAAAGAATCAGGACCAACAGCACTAGCAAATTTACACACACACAAAAAGGAAAGAATCTGCATATGGAAGCCAAAGAAACCAAGCACCTAACTATGTGTGGGCGTGCACGTAATTTTTTTTCACAATCTTTGTAGGTGTATTGATGAGATGTGCCTCCATTAAATTAATTTATGCAAAGATAAAAAAAGGTACTTCCCGTTAACCCGAATTCACATATTGCTACAATCTCATTATCTATCAAACAAGGCCTTAGTATGCTATCAAATTTTGCAATAATCACAATCCTAGCTGAAATTGGTGTAAGCGTCAATAATAACCCTGAAGGTCATGTTAGTATGCACCATGCAGTATTGGATAGTACAATCAACGAGATTCATACTTCTTTTACTTAATAGTGTCCCGTACTACTATCCGGTCCACCCTACCAAATATGGGTAGAAGATAACACGAAACACTTTTTCATGACTATACAATTCTGAGAAGATATGCCCAGTTTATCAAAATTATACATAAGCGAAACAACGAACAATAGATATAAAAATTTATATAGACAACCCAAGATTACCTGAACACAAGTAGAACTAGAACAACAAAATTTGCCCATTAAAAAATCTGCAAAGCCAACTTTTCTACAAATCCTAACTTCCACCTGTTTGCAGCTCTGTGATCAATCTGTTTAACCATAATCAATATACTCGTAAATTCAAAAAACCTACTATTACATAAAAAAATTTCAACTGCTACATACTCTTCAATCAAACTAGTAAATTCAAGAATACTAAGAAATGGGAAATGAAGAAAATATCCAACTTACTATTTCAATTACACGAAATCGATTAGCTTGTAGCGCATGTTACGCGTTTACTGCCTTTTTCTTCTTTGCACAAACAATTGAATAAACTAATGACAGCGACGAACAATTTAGAGACAAGAAAGCAAAACACTTGAGAACCTTTTTTAAACCGCTAAGAGATTTCTTATATTTTAATGCAAATTATTAAATTATTGTTAGAAAGATTTAGGGGAAAATAACTTGGATTTCCTTCTGCAACAGCTTTGGCCATTGCCCATTGGAGGTAGGCATTTGCCCTTTTGGCAATTGGACAACAGAATGAGGGGTAAAAATGGAAATTTGAATACTTATGATATTGACTTTGCTGAGTCAGTCAACTCTGAGTTGGAAAGGATTAAACCATTTCCATTTTTTTCTTTTTAAGCTTTAAATTCAAGTTCATTTTCAAAACCAAATTAATATTTGTTTTAGTTCAACAATGAATGTAGATATAATAGATCTTGGACTCGTTCATTTTCTCGTCTAGTATGATATCTCATTTTTGTGTACTTGGGTCCTGTTGGAGCCACCTTATTGTAGAATAAAAATGAAAAATATAGTCGTTATTGGGGTTCACACAAGAGATAGAAAATTTGAAATTAAATGTTGATGTAATGGATAACGGTTATATTTTTCATTTTAATGAGAAAATAAGGTGGCCCAAACGGACGCTTAATTTCTCATCTAGTATGATCTTTTAATCTTGTGTCGCTTAACCAAATTTCTACATTTTTTGCTGGGAAAATTATTAATCAATCATTAGAAGTTCCTTAATCAATTGGTTGATCACCACAGCACGAAAGAAATTTGTGCCAACAAATAATAGTAAGACGTGAAGTCATTAATCGTAGGACATTAAGTCGCTAACAAAGCCTATCAAGATTACGACAAGAGAAACAATATTTCTTCAACCTAACAAATTGGAGACAAGCCCATTTGATTAAGAGGTCCACCACGTAGAGCATGATTGAGTGGGCCTATAAACTTATATGCCTAAATAATCTATGTGGAAATTACATTAGACCACGTTTTTAAAAAATTGTAATTCAAAAATGAGATATAAGATTTATTTATTTATAAATCAGATAATAATTCAACTATTAATATTAATAGTATAAAATATTCACTCAAACTAATTCCATCCAACCTATCAACTTTAACCAAAATCCTAACATTTTCTCCCTCTCCCCACTTCTCCCTTGTCTCACACGATCGGCTAATTACCTCTCTCTCTCTCTCTCTCTCTCTATTCTTACCATTGCGTCACTACACATCGACAATAATGTCGCATGCATGTGACGACGGTGTCGGCTGAATAACATCGTGATGATGCCTCTCTGAAGCTTAGCTGCATGTTGCGACATTGCTTTATAGCATCTGACGCTAGTGGCAACAATAGATTTGCCTCACGTTGGTAACGATAGAGTTGCTCAGCGCTGCGAATGGTAGAGCTGTCCAGCAACGTTGCCCCTCGACAACAAAGCGGTGATGATACTAGCGGCCACATAGGAAAAAAAAAGGTGGAGATTAAGGTTTGGGTAAGGATTTGGAGACCAGGGAGGGGGGCTTTAGGGTCATTTTTGAAATTATATGCCCTTGCTTCTAATTTCAAATTAGGGGTCAATTTACAAATGGCGACGGTGGTTATTGTGGTGGTACAGTAGGAGGATGTGGTGGTGAAGATCGTACGTAACCAAAGTAATTGTGACCTATAAATTTGTTAATTTGAGGTGTTTGTGTTGTTGGCTACAATGGTGGTGGTGGTGGTCACGATGATGGTGAAGTGGTTGTGGGTAGGATGGCGTGAGGTGGGGTTTGTAACCAATTATCTGATTGATTGTGATCAATAAATACTATGTGATCAATTATTTGAGATCTGATCAACAAATTAGATATTTTTTACCAATGTAATCGATAACTTGTGATCAATAAATAATATGTAACCTAAAAATTTGAGTTGTGGCTTATAAAACTTATAATTTGTGATCGATAAAAAAATCTTGACCTATAAAATTTTTAATTTGTGATCGTAAAATAATTTATAACCTATAAAAAATTTTATTTGTGATCGACAATAATTTATGACCAAATTGTATAGAATTGTGATTTTAATATATTTAATTAATAAAATATATTTTTAGTTAATTATTTCATAAATAAAATTTAATAATATTTGATTTTTCAAATTTTAAAATGTATTTCTTAGTTTTGAAATGGATTGTAGTTAACTTCTTAGATAAGAAATTTCCCATATTCTTTATCTATGCCTAACTTATTTTAGCTAAACAAGATTAATAGAATTGTCAAAACTAGATTCTATACATTTGAAGTACTTTTTCTTTTTGGGAAAAGAACTCTAGGAGTCCTTGGAGTTGAATTTGTTGATCTCAAAATCTAAACGGATGACGTGGTCAATAGATGATCCCTCTCACATCCACATAGCCTCGAAGACTCCGACGGTCAAATCAATCTATGTATGAGTGAATATTTGAGTGTAAGACGTGCTAAAAAGTGAACAACCAAGTAAAAATGGGTTGAATCCAAGAGTAGAAATGATAATGTGAGAGCAAAGTTATAGTTGAGTATATAAAATTGTATTATTTTTAAATAACATTAAGTGTGTGCTTTTATAGTAGAAGAAACGGAGACAAGTTGCCTGATCTCAACGATTGAAGCACCTAGTCACATGCGTTGTTCTATCGAATCTAAGCTCAAGTGTGTTTAATATTTTCTGACCATTGGCAACCCCATGGCCTAAGTCGACACGTAAATAGTAGACTTGACAAGTTGATTTGGTATAATGGTTATTACAGAAATGTCACATCAATCAATCTTGAAAGATCTTGTACATAAGATTATTTGAAAAAGTTAAGGTAGGAAATGCTTCCCATCAATGAAGAGGCTATTTGCCTCGAATTTCCTCCCTGCAATACGCATAACATCTTGTCTTGGTTCTGGATGGTTGGCTTCTTTAGGGCACCTCAACAGTAGTGCACCTTGATTACCTTATATATGGCCTTATCGAGTCAGGTATGATGGTGATGTGGAGTGTGACCCTTGGTCGATGTTTACCATCAACTAAAACTTGTTGTTCACTTTAAGATAATCTAGCGTGTGTTCTACATTTAAATAAAGTCATTATACTATGTAATATGCTTTAAAAATCATAAACATTTTGTTGGAAATATTACTTTTTTTAGAGTTCAAACTTTTTGGTTATTATAGGGGAAGGAAAATTTTAATTTTACATGATCTTAACGGTCAAATTGGATGGATTTTGTCAACAAGAACGAACCATGCATATTTCTTTAAATGTTGAGGATGTCTGGTGCTATTTTTAAATGCTGGGATAGATCTGCAACGTTTTTGAAAAGTTGAGTACAAAATATGCAATTTTTTTCTTATTAAAATACCATAGGTGAGGTTGGTCAATGACTTAATGGTAAAATCCACTTATATAATTAACTTTTTTTTCATCATTTTCTTATCTTTAATCCTTCTTTACCTAGCGTCTTTAATCAGAGTTTGCGTCAAAAAATTGTTAACGTATTTTAAAAAGATGGATAATTATTTAGTCTTAATTTTGTATTTTGTTTCGTTTTTCGCTTATGTAAAAAAAGGGGGAACAAATAAGTTTTTTATTTTATCTTAACAAATTTTTTTAACGGAAACAATAATGAGGGACGGACTTGTATCTATTTGAGAATGAGAGTTTAATGAAAAAACTTAGGAACATCATAAACTTGTATTATGATGGACTTCAAGACTCGAGGGTGTTTGGTAGGGATTAAAATTTGATTTTTAGTAGATTATGATAAATTTTTTGAAATGTGTGGTTGAAAAGTTGTGGGACCCACAAAAGATGTAGTTAATATTGATTATTTGATTTTGACTTAGATTAAAATCAAATTTTAATCTGGACTAAACATAGGCTCAATGAGACTCAATAACGTCTTTGAAGACAAAGTAAACCCAACCTAACGAGGAGATCTACCGAATTTATAAGAATAGGTAAATGCAAGTTACATCATAAATAGATATCCAACTCTCTAATGCATGCTTTGAAGAAGGGATAAGAGAATGCTTCCAACAATTTAGATGCTTTTCCGGCCTCTCCTGCTTCTTACCAATTATTCTTCTCCTTTCAAGTTCACTTCTAAATTCTAATTTCAATTTCATGGACTTTTTAAAGGGACTACTGATTTTGGACTGACCCAACTTATTATGTGTTTTTTGTGCTTAGCACCCAAATGGCCGGCCGAGTGATTGATTGTAGAATCTTTTCAAGATAGTCTTCTCTCAATTTATAATTTAATTTAATGCACTTCTGTAGGGCTTTTGAAAAGTCAAAAGCTACATTTGAGATTAAGAAGTTATTTTTGAGAATTAAACTAGTTTGTCTGAATTGATTTGTCAACATGGTTGACCTAACATCACATGAGTGTAAGATCGATGTGGGACCCGTATGAAATAAAAAATGAAAAAAAATGCTTTCCCTCCCCCCGATGTGTGTGTGGTGTCAGGGAGGGTGTGACCCCCCCTCGCACTGTAGCTCGATTCTATTTTTGAATATGTTTAGGTAACTTTTTGAAAGTATTTTTTGTCTGAGATCTTTTACAAAAGTAGAAGCAAAAACAGAAATTCTGCTAGAAGGGCCTTATTCATGTAACTTCCTTCAAGTTCATTAACTCGACAAACAAAAACGGACACAATAACGTGTCATTTGTTCATTTGCATCTAGAGTAGCGTTGTTAAAGCCATGCCAATATTTACATTATTTTTCGTATGGATTAACCTTATTGAATTGGAAAGTAGAATTTAAATAATTCGATTGTGACAAATAAAATCGAGTGACATGTAGTTAATGTTTTAGTTTAGTCCCACTATAATATGCCTATTAAAGACTTTTCCTTGTAAACAACAAATGATACTTCCACCTTATATCATGGTGGATTGGAAAAAATAATAATAATTTGACCTTTTCAACCCCATTTATTCTGTTATACAAGTGATTATTAAACTATATGGAGACTTATAAATTGTTAGTGAAAAGCAGACACCATATCAAAATTCAAAAGTAGCCAGAGAAAATCTTGCTTCTACAATGGCAAATTCACCTTCTATTGTTAGCTTTTCCCCTAAACAAAATTTACCAACAGACTTGTCCATTACAGAGGAAGCAAAGGGTTACTCTGCACAAGAATTCCCTCCAAGAGATTCCGTTTCCCCGTCGTACTACCAACAAGTAAGTTTTTAAACGATCGCATTCGACAATACAATATACAAAATTTTAATGGATACTTTGTGCTTGAGTGAACAGATAATAGCAGAGATTTTGGGCACTTATGTTCTTGTTTTTGCGGGTTGCGGTGCTGCTCTAGTTGATCGAGAGAAGACACTTACAGTTGTGGGTTTAGCAATGGTGTGGGGACTGGCTTTGATGGCGATGATATATGCACTTGGCCATGTTTCTGGTGGGCACTTCAACCCTGCTGTTACCATTGGCTTTGCAGCCGCGCGAAAACTTCCACTCGTTCACGTAAGAATATAATTTGTACACGAAATTTGGATTGTTTAGTACTATCCAATAATCGTTTTTTGAACATGTCGGAATCGTCTTGCAGGTACCGTTGTACGTTTTATCTCAGTTTTTGGGTTCAACACTTGCATGCCTCACCCTGAAAGTACTATTCAATGACCAAGCTGATATACTACCCACTCTAACTCGTTATTCCAGTTCAACTACTGATCTTGAAGCTATCATATGGGAATTCATCATCACTTTCGTTCTTATGCTCACGATACGTGGAGTAGCTTCTGATGATAGAGCGGTACGTATTTCTCGTTGTGGTACATCCATATTTAGTTCTTGCACAAGTTTATCTAAGCATTATCGGTACTTATCAACCATCTTCTTTCACACTATAATAGATCATTCAAATACTGACTTCGCAATTTGTTGTCGATGAAATCAGAATAATGAACTGGCTGGAGTTGCTATTGGAGCTACAGTGTTATTCAATGCCCTTGTTGCAGGGTGAGACACATCCCACAAGTTTCATGCATGTTTTGCTAAGCTTAAAAGGTTAATAACTATATAAATTTTAAAATACATAATTTTTTTTTTGTTGGTCAAAAGGGAGATAAGTGAGCTATTAGTATACTTTGATGGCAGTAAAACTTAATTTGAGAATAAGAAAATTTTGTATACTTGAAAGTAAGAAAAAAGTAACATATTTCATCTTATTTGCATAAGCAGTAAACACGAAATGATCCCACCATTCTGCACTATTTTTTCTCTTAAAATGAACTTCTAGTCACAAGTTCCATCAGGTTATCAAAATTGCAACACAAGAAAATAGAAAAGATAAGGGACGCAGTCACGCAGAATAAAGGGAGTTCTTAAATGTATTTATTAGTGAATTGAAAACATGCAGGCCGATTACTGGAGCTTCTATGAATCCTGCAAGAAGCATAGGTCCAGCAATAGTCTCTGGTGTCTATAAAAATCAATGGGTGTTTGTTGTTGCTCCCATTCTTGGAGCCATAGCTGCAAGCCTGATATACAGTCTTCTCCAGCCATGGAAGGCGGGAAAGCATAAAGAGAGTGCTAGAAGTACATACAATGATCTATATCTATGTCCCGAGGCATGAACATGTATTCAACCATGTGGAAGTATATCAAACAACCAAACGTAGTGCTGAGATTGGATTAGCAAAATGGACTTCACACTAGAATCTCGAAGGAAGATGAACATCAGTGTAGTAGCTTATTTTTACAATGGCATGTGAAAATCCCAATAGTAGTATTTCACATTAGATATATAGTAGTTTTTTGAGTCTTTCACTCCAACTGATTAATAATCCTCAAATCAATTAAAGTTAAAACGGTCAGCACCTTCCACGAGAACACAGATCAGTTAACATACTCCAATACCATGTTCAACCACCATCAAAGGTTTAAGCATTAAATTGTCAGGAGGAACAAAATTATTTATCTAAATCTTCAGTACAGAAGCAATTAAAGGATATGCAAATTCATAGACAAGCCATCATCCAAAAAAAAAATATATGTGCAGAAAAAATGTGTACTAATGTTGAAGTGATGAGCAATAAGCATGAGTTGAATGTCATTCCAACTATAATATCTGCACGGTTGATAAAAATTAAAGGAACAGACCTGCATTTATTAGAGGACCGCACATCCTTCAATGACACGTCTGCACTCATGAAAATACTGTACAGCAAAACTACAAGTATGATACAGCAAACAAGCAAAATATGAACCACCTGATCCAATTTTTTGAAACTTCAGACATAATGAATTGTTGATCAGATAAGATCAGTGACGAAGGAGATGCATGTTGTACAATGGATAATGGTTTTGTCCCACGGACCACTATGGACAATATCTTGTTTCTCAACCTCCGGGCAGTATATCATCACCTGTAAGGACTGTATGTCAGGGAAGGTGAAATAAACATTGAAGTTTCAGAGAATGTTACCAACTCCAATAGAGTAAAAAATCGTATCCTCTGAAATAGTGTACATCTATTAATAGTTATATCCAGAGTGAGCATATGAACAGAATGACAAAATTGTAAAAAAAAATCAAGTCCGGTGACCAACTTGAAACAAGATGAAGTTAAGTGCCGAACTCAAAATTTCGGTAAAAGCTAAGTGACCAACTAGTTTTTTTAACCAGTCTTAAAACTATAAATAAAAAGTTTCAATAGTTCAAACTTCTACGTTTTTAGCTTACCCAGTTTGAGAAAGACGCCTCAAGTTCACTAGCTGGTGAGACTGTGGATGCCTTTGCAAATAAGAGGAACTGGTTCCAATACCATTGTCCTCACCAGCGAATTGATCAGAGAAATTAGAACTCGAGGGAGACCAAACTGGAACTACACCCCCGTCCCTTTCTCTTCTACTGCTATTGGATGATTCTGCTGTTGAATCTTCAGAATCTCTCTGACCCATTGCAAAAGTAAATTGCGGGAAAGTGTTGACGGTTCTAACTGTTTGCATAACATCATGTCCATTTGGTTCTCTTGGCTCTTCAGTTAAATTTACATTAACATTGGTTGGTACTTCTGCTCGACTATCATCTGCTGAATTTCTGCGATCATTAGAGGTTTCTTCATCATCAAACCTGACCAAAGAAGAAGTCATACTCGGGACCATCTGATCCTCATAACGTCTAATTACTGTATTTACAGGGTTGTTTCTGACAGGTTCATGGTCCGTCTCCATTTGCGTGTCTTCCGGAAATGTGAAGGGGGCAGTTTCCGAGTTGTCTCCAAGTCCCTCTTCCATTCCATTCTCAATTGCAGCCCTTGACGCTGCTTCATGCTGCCACATCTGTGACAAAGCTTCTTGTAACCTGGCTTTTGCAGCATCAATTTCAACAATGGGAAGAGGGTAATTGGAGCCAAGCTCAATTCCAGCTGCTTGCAGTACGGATTCTGGCGCATTCCATGGATGATGTATCCATTCAGTTGGCAATCTAGCAAGTTCAGGAAGCCATCGCCGAACGTACTCTCCATTGGGGTCGAACTTGTAACCCTCGAACTGTCAAATAGACAATAAGACATGTTTATGGCCTCCATTGTAACAGTTTCCAAGAAAAAACTATGATTAGTACTTGAATGCAATCCAAATGTCACATTTGGGAGAGCTTCCTGGTATAATTTATGCAAGCCAACATAAATATAAATGAGCAGAAGTCTCAATAATTTATGCAAATTTGCTACAAGTAAACTAAAGCATGAATTCATGCAAAGCTCATCAATATGTACCTGTGGATTATCAATACGATCCAACCCACGACCATCAGGAAGAGTGCCAGATATATACTGCCAACCAAGGGCATCACTCTCAAGATCGGCATCTAATAGGGTATCCCAGAAATACTTCATTCCCCATCTCCAAGGAAGCAGCAGAACCTTCACAAAGAAACTAGAGACAACAACTCGTATCCGATCATGTAACCAGCCAGTGGCCCACAGCTCTCTCATACCAGCATCCACGAGTGGATAACCAGTTCTGCCTTGTCTCCATGCCTTAAAATAGCTCTCATCCACTACCCACGGAAAATACTTTAGGTGACCAAGTAAAGGCCTTTCGTGGCTGTATGGATGATTGAAACTCATGTATCTTGAATATTCCCTAAGGCCAATACTCTTGAGGAACAAATTGACACTCTCGTCACCTGATTTGTTCCCTTCATTGGCCCAAAGAACTTGCTTCATGCGAACAAGATGAAAAACCTTTCGAACGCTGACTTCTCCGAAATGTAGATGGGGGGAGAGAAACGAGGTTGTAGCACTATCAGCCTTTCGACGATTCATGGAGTACTCTATTAGTGGTCCATTGATGAAGGTCGTTAGGGCCTTGTCAGCATTACTCCAGCCAGGTGACCATGCCCGTGCTAGAAGTGCATTACTTCCTTTCTCAGAGTCATCTTCAAATACCAATTTGTCTGAAGGGCATCTTGATACATCAGCTAGAAGAGCCAAACAAAAGATATTAGGGGAATACTAATGAAAAGCAATGAGGTAGAATAATAGTTGCTCAACGTAAAGTAAATATGGGAATGAAGGTCTGTAAGTAACATGGGAAATCCAACATGTTAATAATATTCACGTCAACATAATTTTTTATGGAAGCTGCGACACCAAGTATATTAACACTAAATATTGGTGCCATTAATTAAGTGGACAGGTAAAGCTAACTGGTAAATCTGTCGGACATAATGAAGCTGATCACCGATAGACGACCAATATGAGGTTTAAAAAGCTACACCAATAGAAGGAAAATCATCTCTCTCTCTCTCTCTCTCTCTCTCTCTCTCTCACATATGGATGGATTTGAATTGCTACTTTGAAAGCCACCAGCCGATTAAGTGTTTATCATTGGTGCTTAATCTATTTAACAGTAATCTTTGTATTTGAAAACTCAAGGGTTAAGACTCAATAATATCGTTAGATTTCCAAACCACCATGTAAATCAAGCTGTTACCAAATACAAGGCAGAGTCAGGAGATATAGATCTTTATTATAAAAAATATGCTCAATATGCTAACATGCACAATCATTTACTAAACAATAATATCAGATTCTCACCTTTAGTTTAAAGATGAGAAAGAATGGGATTAAGCATAATTCTGTTGTCAAAGACTAGTTTCAGCTGTTTTATATATCAATGAAATCAAACAATTCATACTATAGTGTGTGTGTGTGTGTACACAGATTACACCAACCACACACATTCTGATCTGAAGTGTGAGAAGAGAATCAGCAAGGCACAGGATATGGGGATTAATTAAGTATTTTATTTTATATATAAGAAGAGATGTAGGAAGGGAATGAGATCCTGTAGCACAGTTTTCACACTCATAACTTGCCACCAAAATTGTGCAATCAAATTAACAACCAACAATCAACAAGACAGTGAAAGAATAGAAGGAAGAAAGAGATAAGAAGAGAGAGGCCTAAGAGAGAAAGAGATCTGACAGAGTGAGGGAGAATTCTAGTACTTGTATCCAATTACAAGAAATTCATGGAAAGTATTCAAGAATGCTAGGGAACATTTAACAAGCATCGCTTGCATGAAGACAACAGGTGGACTGAAAATGTCGACCTCTAATCTATATTCTGCATTGTTTTGGAAAATATCATCATATTAACACCATCGTGTTAGTTATCCCAATCAGTGGGTTTAGCACGTGTTTTATGTTAGTGATGTACCATTGGTGGAATTGAACTGTCATTCAGGTCTGATATAAAGATGTTTTCACCAATTGATTAGTATAATCGAAAAGATTGGAATTTAATAAGATTAATAAAAACAATTATATTCCCTGAAGTTAGTGAAAATCTATTATATCACAATTGCCGATAGACTCCAAGATAGCAGAGGTGTAATGAAGTTTCTGTGAGGAAACAGACCAGAGATGATTCTTTTAGGTGGAAGAAGTGGAGCCTCGGGATCATACATCATGCTAAGGCATCTGTCCCAGAACGAAGTAAAGGTTGTAAACGGACGACCTTCCCCATCATGAACTTCCCATGGTTCATAAAGCAAGTCCGCATTAAAGGAACGGACAGCAACACCTTGAGCTGTTAAAACTTCCTTTGCTCTGTGATCCCTGACCAGTGATATGGGGTCTGAAATAAATAAGCAAAAAATGTTATAAGCCCGAATTAGCTAATGTTTGCAGAATTACAATTACATTAAAAAAACAAAGAAAGTGCAAAAATTCACTAGTAACACCATAGACTAATTTGAGAATAGAATCAACACTAACAAGACAAAATTTCACCTTTCTCCAAAAATTGAAGATGCTCGAAGGAAAACTGATCACTACAGATGTGCTTAACACTGATGGGAGCACAATAAATGTGCAGCATAAAGGAGTGGCAATATAATAAGCATGCTAGTTTTTGTACATATCCGCCAACAAGAGAAGATAAAATAACTAGATAAGGTTACACAACAAATTTATAAGTTATTTAGAAGATATTTTACTGTCCAGCAGCTACAAGGAATGAGTGAAAAAAACATTATCAAAATTCTGAACAATCATATTTCAAACTAATTGATCCAAGGAAATGAAAAAACAAAAAACACATGAGATCCAATAAAGATTAACA